TGTTTTCAAAGTGGCCCTTTATATCCTTTAAAAAATACAATTTAAAATGATCTCAAAAGTTAAATTATATTTTCATTCTTTCATAAGTAGGAAACAAAAGGTCAGGTAAAATGTATGGATTATAGCTTTCCAGTATACATATGCCTTAAACTGCCTATGAAGCATAACTCTTCACAAATGAGATTTAATTGTGTATGCACCAGCTTTGAACAGTATTGCAGTGACAAACAAGTTATTTTCTGTCACTTGTTATGTATTTCCTACTTCAGTGTGAAAGAATATTAGTATAAAATAGATGAAAAGATGAAAGCAAAAGGAGAATAAATTATTAAAATAAACCAACTAGCTAGATTAATTCAAAGGAAGACACTTCACAAAATCCAGCCCAGTTGCTGGGTTACTGTGTCGTTTAGTTTGGATACACTGAACACACTCAAATATCCTTTGCAGAACTAGACATTGTTTTATAGACGAGTCATTTTTAGTCCCTATTCATGTGGCACTTAAGAAAATTGTGCAGCTTCCCTATATAAAGGACAGATTTAAGAGAAACAGATTCTTTATAAACCTTTTTGGGCATTATCAGTTTTCATATGGAGACAAACAGAAGTAGTTTGTTTTTATCCAGCACTTGTGTTGCATGTTTAAGCTCTCTCATGGACTTAGGGTATGAGTCACAGTTCTTCAGAGTTGGGCTAACGGTGGGAGAGAGAAAGAAGGTGGGCTGCCCAGACTCATAGATACCAATCTTCAGGAGCCCAAGACACCCGCCTTCCTTGTCCTCAGACACACTTGGAAGTGGGTTCTTCTCATTTGCTTAGAAAACTTGGTATCTGCTTACTGTGTGATAGTTCCTGCATTAGATGCTAGGAGACAAAAATGAACAGGGCATGGTCTTCCTCCAGGGATTTGCAGTCTAGACGGAGTGATAGCTGAGAAATCACACAATTATAATTATGTGATAAATGTTGAGATAGTTACATAATAGGTGCCTTGTTATAGGAGCTGATAGAGGAAGAATGATCTGATTTAGGTAACTGAAGCCGGCTTGTTGCGAAAAATGATTTTAAATGTGATGACAGCTTCTAATGAGAACGGCATCAACTCCATGGTGGTTTGCGCGAGGGCAAATTAAGCGATGTGGTATAGCAGAAAGGAAGAAGTTAAGTGCAACTTGTGAAGAAATTGCACACGTATCTAGTGGGAATACAAAAATACATATTCATGACGTGTAAGTTGAAATTTCCAGGAATAACTTCCCTGGTATAAAATTCCCATCATATTTGGGTCTTCTCAATTTTGGAGGTATAACTAATTAAATAACACTCACTGAATACTTTATTTTTATAAAAGTGACAAATACGTGTCAGTATTGCCTTCCTGTTTAAATTTTCAAAGGCAAAGAGTCTAAGGAACAATAAAAATGGAAATCGTATGTTGTGAAGAGGAGGAACACGACCCAGACTACCTGACATATCATACTTAAGTAAGGAAAATAGTAATTTAAGGCCAGGCACGGTGGCGCATGCCTGTAATCCCAGCACTTCTGGAGGCCGAAGTGGGAGGATCGCTTGAGGCCAGCCTGGGCAACATAGGGAGACCCTGTCTCTTCAAAAATAAATGAATGAGTGAATGAATAATAAAAAAAGAAGATAGTAATTTAAACTTGTGACATCAGTAGTAGAGAAAATTTTAAAGCCACTTAGGTATTATTATGGCCTGATGTAGAATGAAGTTTTGTTAAATAAAAATCTTGCTGGGCTTACTTGACAAAGGCCATTTTCTAGAGTAGATTGAATGTTGTTTCTTGATCTGAGGCACTAATGACAATGAGCTCATCTCCCTCCCGCTACCTTGGATGTCCCCTTCCTTGTACCTAGAAACGCAGACACGAGACAGTTTTATCTTCCCTTTGATGTTGTTTTTCTTTAGTTGTCGTCTTGTATATTGTTCAAAAATAAAGTTGACATTGTCATCTGGAACAATTCATTCACAGTTTTGTTACCTTGGAATCAATTTTTACTATACACATATCATTTCATTTCTTCCTGATGTCAATGTCAAACACAACCTCCTTATTTAAACCACAAATGCTACTATTTTCAGGAAGGTAAAGCCAAATAATTGTGATTTCCTTTGACAGAAGAACCATGTTTTATTTTTTATATATATACACGTGTGTGTGTGTGTGTGTGTGTGTGTGTGTATTTATATTTCTAGGACCTACCCATAGGTATTGCTTAGTAAAGCTTACTCAACAAAGGGACAGATGAGTCCATGACTGTCCATATTAGCTACAGCATTACTGTATTAAAAATGAAATAGCAATGATAATATCCCGGCCTTGATTGTGGGTAATAAGTATCCTGAGACTTTCCAATGGCACAGAAATACTATGATTGTGATATAATGTTAAATATATAAAAAGCACGATATAAAATTTTATACTAAAGTGTAGGGGCTGGACCTATGAAATTATGTAAGATTTCGTATTTGCTTTTAAGGAGCTTACAGTGAGAAGACGTGTATAAAAAGATGCATGCTGTGTGGCATGGGGATTTAGAGATAGTAGGAATGTTGGGTCCTGCGGCAAACCCTCCGGGAAGCAATTGAACTTGATCCATTCTTTGAAGGAAATATGGGACTTATCCTAGTGATGCTGTTCTGGAAAGGTAGTCATTCCACGAAGACAGTATATGAAAGGAAGATGCCACGTACAAATGTACATGATTTGGTGGGAAATATTGGGTCGATTACTTGAATCAGAATGTATTGGAAAATAGCACTGGAGAGATTTTCAGGAAGTACTTTGTGAGCGGCCTACCAGTCCAGGGCAAGGAATTGGGACTTGATTTAGTAAATAATGGGGGAATTGCTAAAGGTTTTCAAGAAACTCGATTGTGTTATTTTTTAAATTATTGTTATTCTTACGTGGACTCCACATTCTAGATTATAGTAGATATTCCAAA